TATTTGGATGCACAGTTTATGTGCCAGTAGCACCACTCCAATGCACAAAAATGAGCCTCCAACAGAGATTGAGATATACGTCGGGTATGAATCATTATCTATTATTAAATATAGAGAAACTGATCAATTGAAAGAAAATTATTTGGAAAGTAACTTTTAATTTTCTTGATCTTCGTAATAGTCAAAGTGAATTACAACAAAAAAGTAACTTTAAATTTTCTTGATCTTCGTAATAGCCAAAGTGAATTACAAGTGTAACAAATTGTACATTTGCAACGAGTAGCAAATCAATTACCTGATACTTTTTGTGACGCTACCAGAGTCACAACATCATACATAGCTGCAAACAATGCAACGGTTAAAATTATTGTTTATGAAGGGCAAATGCAAAGTGGTAATAAATCAAATGCACGCTTGAAGCATGACAAACCTTTAAGTTTCAAAGATAAAATTCGAAAGAAAAAAGAATAAATGAAAAGTTTTGAAAATTGAATGTTAATGAAAATGCTCATAAAATGAGTAGCAACATGGATGAAATTCCAAAAAAAGTTGGTCCTGATAAATTTTCTCGTGAAGATAATGAAGTTATTGAAAATTCAATAAATTATATTATTATTGGAAAGTATTCGAACCAAAATGATATAATTATATATAATACTTTTGCATATAATATATCACTTGCTTTTAATGAAAAATAAGAATTTTAACCTAGATCGATTGATAAATGTCGGAAAAAATTGGCAAAAATGAAAAGATACGATCTAGTTTGAATTGAATTCACTGGCAAGAAGAAATTTTTTCAAACCAATTGTGCAAACACCTAAAAATATCAAGCATGTTGGCCATAAATAGATTTTTGTTCAAAAATAAAATGAGAATAATGAAATTGACAGATATAAAAGCAAGTTTGTTGTCCAAAGTTTTTCACAAAGATCTGAAATTGATTTTAATAAAACTTATTTTCTAGTAATATATGAAATAATATTTCGATATCTTGTTAGTTTGACAGTTAATAAAATTTTGGATATGCGTCTAACATACACATAAATGTCTATTTATATGGTTCATTAAATATTGACATCTAGACGAGAATCCTGAATGATTCAATATTTTAAAGCATACAAATCAAAGCAATATATATATATATATTATTTCATTAAATTACAAAAGTTTTGTATGGGCTCAAATAACCTGGTCGCGTATGGTATGATCGTCTCAGTGAATCATTAATTAAAAAGGGATATGCCAATGATTTTGTTTGATCATGTGTTTTTATAAAGAAAACTAGAAGAAAATTTGTAATCATATATGTTTATGTGGATGATTTGAGTTTAATTGAAACCTCTAATAAAGTCCAATAACCTATTAACTATCTGAAAGAGAAAGTTTGAAACTAATAATTTCAGAAAAATACAATTTTGTCTTAATCTACAATTTGAACATTTGAAAAATAAAATTTTGATTAATCAATTTGTATATACCCATAAGGTATTAAAATGGTTTGCAATGATTAAAATATATTCATTAGGGACTCTCTAATGGTCGTTAGAACTCTTGATTCTAGTAGGAATCTTTTTAGACTGAAAAAGAGGATGAGGAAGCACTTGGTTTTGAAATACCATATTTAATTGTTATTGGTGCACTAATGTAGTTGGAAAATTGAACAAGGCCATATATCATTTGATGTAAATTTATTAGCAAGATTTAGTACAATGTCAATACAACAACATTGAAAATGAATTACACATATTTTTCGTTATCTCCAAAGAACGATTGATCTCATTTATTATATTCAAATAATTTTTTGCATGAGTTGATTGGATATATAAATGTTGAGTATTTTTCTGATCCGCATAAAATAAAGTCTCAGACATGCTATATATTTACTTGTGACGGTATATTGCTATCATGAAGATCCACTAAATTAACATTAAATGTAATATTTTCAAATTATGCTGAAATAATAGTAATTCATGATACTAGTCAAATAATATGTTTGGATGAGATCAATGATTTCCACATTTTAAAAATTTGTGATTTAAAATTTGAATATTATAATCCTTCGACTATTTTATACAAAGATAATGTCATTTATATAGCGCAACTAAAATGAGGATATATCAAAAGAGATACATCAAACCATATTTCACCAAAAATTTTATTTACTCACGATTTTCAGAAAAATGGTGAAATAGAGATTATGCAAATTCGATTTAATGATAATTTAGCAGATTTATTGAACAATATTTTACTGACTACAATATTCAAAAAATTGATAAAGAACATTGATATGCATAAGTTGCGAGATTTCAGTTGATGTCTAAATCATATGGAATATTTTTTTTAATGCATGAATTACATTTTTTTTTTCTTCATAGGAATTTTTGTTCCATTGAATTTTTTCTTAATAGAATTTTAACGAAGTGTATTAATTGCAATTACCGACATCTAAAGGAGAGTGTTATGACTCACCATATTTCTTTGTAGGTATCATTTCTATGTTTTGCCAAGTTATTTATTTAATAACTAATCATCTTGTAATATTTATATAAATATGTCTTAATGTAGTGAGATGAGAGAATAACAATTATTACTCGATAAAAATATACACACAAGTTTATAGATATACGTATTATATCTATATATACAAACTCTTATGTATATTCACACATATATTTTTATATTTTTTTCGTCCCACCAAATTAGTCAATTTTTTATTTTTTAATTGTCTCACAAAATTAGTTCATTTTTTTAATATAGTAATAATTAATAAATATTTATTAAATTTAAAATTTAACTATATTTAATTAAATTATTAATATTTTAAAATTTATTGTTTGTTTATTAGTAAACTTAAAATTTAGCTAGAATTTTGAATAATAAAAATTTAACCATTCCTCTCATCAGACCATCTGTAGCACTCATAGCTACAGCTCTAACTCGATTATTTCCGACAGTTATTGTATGAGGTCTACCCAATGCTAATGTTAATAGATATTTATGTAATGTTTAAAATCTTAAATTAGTTTTTATGTAATATAAAAAAATTTTAATGTTTGATTTAGTATTTTATGATTAGAAAATTAGTTGATTTATTTTTTTCTTTGCTAAAAAAAACTCATTTATCGCTTATAAAAATACTTTTCATTTTGGTATTTTGGCGTAAAATATTATATTTAATATTGATATGCAATTCAGTAAGAGATAATTCAGTATAATATTATACCACATTTTTAGTTTTTTTCGATACTGTATCAAAATTTTGGTATAAATACCAAAATATCAATTTTTTTTTTTTATATACTAAAAAATGTCTAATTGTATATTGTTACAGAACTAAAATGTTTTGTATGTATCAAATCATACCCAAAAATTAGAATTTTTGGTATTTTTTTTACGATATGCTTTTGGTAATTTAATATTTTATAATCTATAAATTCGGTTACCAATTATTAATATGGTATTGGGATGGTAAAATATCAAAATAAAAATTTTAATACGGTATACGATATGCAATATAAATTTTGATATGTCATAACGAATCATTGCTACCAACAACATAAATTTAATGTATTGTTTACTTTAAATTTTTAAATTAAAATTTTTCATTATGTTGATTGAATTTAAATTATTAAAGCTAATTTATTTTTATTATCTAATTGTGTATATTGATTTACAATCTATACAATAATTATAAAAAACTTGTATATAGAATATTCAATATTAAAAAGTGGAATAAAAAATATTTTAACATTTATTTCATTACTTTATCAAATAAAAAATATTTAAAATAATATTTTATTGTAAATATTAAATCACCTAATTAAATTAATCAACTAAATAATAGTACAATATTTTTAATATGTGTGCCCAAAAGAAAGTAAACTAACTTCATACAACGTAGAAAATATTGAATATTGTATTATTTTCATATTTGTAATTATATTTTATATATTTCAGATCACAAATTTTATTTTTTTAATTATATAAAATTTACGGTAAAAATATATTTATTCTGTTCCAACTCAAAGTACTTTATTTTATCATTTTTGTTTGTCCAATTAAAAAATATCTACTTTTTATCTTAGTAAAAGTAATCATAACCTAATATCAAAACATTTTTAACTTTTATTTACCATTACACGTACAATTACTTTAAATATAAAGTAAAAAAGACAAAAATATCAAAATTTATTTCCCACTTCCACTAACCAATAAAATATTATTATTTTATAATTTACTAAAAAAAAATAAATGAACATTTGAAATAATATTTTATAATTTACTAAAAAAAATAAATGAACATTTGAATTGGCCGAGGAAGTATGTTTCTAATATCTTTATACTATTTTTTAAATCAAAATTTAAAACCACTTTATTACACCAAATTAATACTATAAAAAAATAATGCAAGGTTAATGCACAGCGTTTAAGAATAATAATTTGGCTTAATTTTGGATGAAATGATTTTTCAGTGTATATGAAAAATTGTGTAAAAAATATTAAATATATTATTTAAATTGAATATTTGACTTTTTGTAATAATTTTTTGATTTTTTATAATGAGTATTTTGAATTTGTATAAAATATTATATTTATTATTATTTATTTTTGGAAATAGCAATAAAAAAATAGTGTTGGGTGAACAGAGAGTTTCAAATTTAGTAAATTAACGTTATTAGTTTATCATATTTTATGAGAAGAAAAAGTTTTATTTTTTTAAAAAAAATACATAGTCCAAATAGTAGAAATATTGAGATTTTAATTGTAAAAAAACATACCCTATATCTTATTAATAAAATTTATTATATATTATCTATCAAATTAATATTTTTCAAAACTCTCAAACCTAAATCAAATTTATTCTAAAATTCAAATTTAATTCAAATTCAAACCAAATTCTTTCAAACTTATCCCGAACAAACGTATCCATACCCGTACCCGTATATTTACGTATACAAGAAAAAAGGCAAATTATTATGTTTGAAAGAGGGGGCGGGGCGGTTTGGTGGGGAAAGGTTTTAATGAACAAAGGGAGAGGATTACTCAAAACCCTCTGCCAAGCCAAAACCCCTGCTCTTCGCAAATCCAAGGCATTGCTCCTTCTCGCTTGATTTCTGTGTTTATGTGCTTAATTTATTGAATTTGTTTCTTATGTGCAGATGGATGCATCTGACCGATACTGTTACAACCCAATCCTGCGCTGGAACCCTCAAGTCGAAGCGTATTTTGTAAAAGCTTATGGCGCTGACCATTTTCATCGGATTTCGACGGCTCTCGCGTGCGCATTCTGCTTATTTCCTTTGTTTATTGAAATTTGTACTTAGTGTTTAATTGAAATGCGTCGGGTTTTTTTTTTTTTTTTTTTTTTTTAGCTTCTTGGTACATATTTTTCTGCAGCAATGATTGTCACTCCTATCGAATCTGAGAAACATTTTGAAATTGGATTGTCATGTATGAAAATGTTGAATTAGGTCTTGTTACAACTTTGGTTTGTAGGGCTTGTGATTAGAATCTTTCTTTTGATTTAGTATTTTCCTTAATACTCTTATTTCCATGTTAGGTTTACATATTGGTACACCAAAATGATATCCATTGTTCTTGATTACTGTAAATTTCTGTTTTTTCATGTATTAATGTAGAAGTTTTCTTACAGTATTGGTTTAATGGTATGCACTGTACTGTCTTGTTAATTCAATGCCTTTTTCCTAAAACTTCTTATGTTTTATAATTAGGCGGCCATCTTGTTACTCTTGTATAAGGGTGAACACACTCAAGTCAACAAGTGATGCTGTTATTGAGAAGCTGTTGGCAGTGCTTCAGGAGAGGGGGTGGAAAATTGATCATTCTGACAGAGGGAATGTTTGTTATGCCTCAGATAAAGTTGGTGCTGTACCGGAGGATTCTGTTGATCACAAAGAACATTCAGCAAAAAAATGCTTTATGTCAAAGTGTCCGATACCTGGTCTAAACTATGTGGTTTTCATCAAGGGGTCTGGACCACACACTATTGATTATGGGTACCAGGAAGAGAAACCTCCAAAAGAGGTGGTTGTCAGCCGGAAATGTGCTGAAGCAGTTCTTCGTGGTGCTCATGTAAGCATTAAAGTGGGGATACACAGGCTGAAACATCTTTCTTCTTAAAAAAGTGATGCGGTTTAAATAAGAAATACAATTCTTAACATTATTAAAATATAAAAAGGTTACTCTTTCCATCTGGTAAATTTACCCTTTTGGGGCAATATGGAGATTAAAAAAAATAAATATTTTATTAAAAAAGTGATAGAAGTAATGGGGGGTATTTATAGAAATTCAAAGATAATAAAGACGGAGAATGATAGAAAGCTAAATCGGAAAGAGCATGAAGTTAAGATTAAAGAGAAATCGGAGTCTTGACAAATACTTGTGTATTGATGACAGGGATGGGCTTAGGCCTGCTGTTAGAGGGTTTAGATTTTATTTACTTGCTTTTGTATTAATATATTATATTTTAAGTTGGATTTGTCTTTTAGTTATTGGGTTGATTTATTTTATATTTTGTAAGTAGGGTTTAGTTAATAGTATTTAAAAATGAACTATAGTTTGAGACTATCATTCTGAAACTTTGAGAACAAAGTAGCCGTCAGGCTTTGGGCAAACGGTTGGTACCGTTTAATTGTTCTTGGGCAAACAATTGATATCGTTTGATTTTTCTTATTTTTTATTTCGTTTCTATCAATTGGTCCGACATGCCAAATCCCGATCCCATCATCATGGTAACAACACGATCAACAACAGAGTGACTGGACAAACTTGAGGCTGATCAAGCCGAGATGGAGTACATGAAGGCGACTAACATCCATCAGAGATCATGGCGACTCTTGCTGAATTCTTGAAAGTGATTTTGAAACCCTCTGGATCGCAACAATCGGCGATAGGCCAACAGCCCCGCCACACCAACTAACGCTGCCGCCCCCGGCTTCTGTGCCATTGCAATTGGCGATTAACTCCCGATCGCAGACGGGCCCTGTGCTTCCATCCTTCAATGGTTCAGATCCGATAGGATTGTTGGCTCGCGCCAATCAACAGTTTGAAATTCATAACATCAGTTCAGAGATGAAGGTGCGTGCAACCATGGTGGCCATGGAAGAAGCTGCATTGTACTGGTCAACCTGGTTACGCTCTCGCAAACCGAGGCTGACATGGAAAGAATTTTCCCAAGCGCTGGTGGCGAGATTTGATACGCGCTTCAAGGGCAGTTCTTTTGAACGATTGACAGGCATTTAACAAAGAGGAATCGGTGGATGACTACGTAACTTTATTTGTTCAATTGGCTTGTCAAGTTCTGGGTTTGACAGATGCGCACTATTTGGCTACTTTATGGAAAGGTCTAAACCACTCGATTCGAAGTTCTCCTCGCCTTCTTTAGCCCACAGACTTAGAGACGGCCATGGTATTTGTTTAGTAACATTGAGGATAATTTTCAAGTGCAACTTGACAGTCATCCATATCAAAATTTGAACAGTCCGACACCCCACTCAAGCTCTATGTCCCGACCGAACAATATGATTAGAGTTTTAACAATAGGGGTCAACCACAACAGATCTATTAACAAACTTGTCAGTCATCCTTCCGTGACCCGATTGGAGGCAATTAGTCAGCCAACAGTCCGGAATCGATTTACCCGTCTCTCACCTCAAGAATTTGTTGAATTGTGAGCCAAAGGACTTTGTTTTTGTTGCAAGAAACCATACACCTCAAAACATTAATGCCCTTTCAAACAATTGTGAGTCATGATAACTGAAGAAGACGAAGATGTCTTAAATCTTCAACAATTTTAATATTATGTACAACGGAGCATGAAGGTTGGATGGGAGAGTGAGGAGACCCATCGATAGAAGAGGGGACCTTAGCGTTTTTCTTTGTAGAGGGTTTTCCGAGCCAACAGACTATGTGGTTGCATGGAATTGTACAAGGAATGAAGGTAACAATATTAGTTGATACCAGTGCTAGTCACAATCTTATATCTTCTTTTTTAGTATCTACTCTACTATTAATAACCGACCGTACAAAAAGATTTGGAGTTCGGTTAGGTGATGGACGAAGATTGGAATCCCAAGGATTATGCCGGGATGTTATGGTCTCATTATAGGGTTGTGAGGTAACAACCACTTGTTTTGTGTTTCCCTTCGAGAGTGTTGATATTATTTTCGGTATAGCTTGGTTAGCCACGTTGGCGGATGTTCAAACAAATTGGGAAGTTCTTACTATGTCCTTTGAATGGAAGGGCGGCCAAGTAGTACTGACAGATGACCAAAGCCTAACCCAAAAGACTTAGGATCGAGCCCGTGAGGGAGGAAAACAATAGGAAGATCTAAGCTCATTCCAGTTCTTTGGGGACAAGGTCGATTCGAAGAGGGATGAAATTGATAGAAAGCAAAATCGGAAAGAGCATGACGACGGGGATGGGCTTAGGCCTGTTGTTTGCGGGTTTAGATTTATTTACTTGCTTTTCTATTAATATATTATATTTTGAGTTGGACTTATCTTTTAGTTATTAGGTTGGATTTCTTTTATATTTAGTAAGTAGGGTTTAGGTAATAGCATTTAAAGAGGAAATAGGGTTTGAGACTATCATTTTGAAACTTTGGAAATAAAGTAGCCGTTAGGCTTTGGGCAAACAGTTGGTACCATTTGATTGTTCTTGGGCAAACAATTGATATCGTTTGATTTTTCTTATTCTTTATTTCGTTTCTCAGAGAATGAGAATTATGTTTAATAAAGGTAACAAATGTCGTTAATAAATGTACTAAAGGATAATAGTTAAATGTTGGATTTCTGTCTTTACTAACATTAATAATTGAGTAAATTTAACAGATTGATGAACAAGAAAACTCAGACTAAATTTGAGGACTATATTTCTTATATTTTTATGATCTCATACTCCATGCTTTTTTATTTATTTATCTTTTTCATATGTGTGCCTCTTTTCTTAATCTTACCACTCACTTAGCCCATAATTATTACTCCATTTGTCTTAAATAAATTGTCCACGTTACTGTAGGTATGAGAATTTAAGTAAAAGATAATTAGTAAGTAATTAAGAAGTGTATTAGTAAAAATAATTATAAATTAAGATTAAGAAAACTTAATAATTTATTTAAAATTAAGATAATTATAAATTGTGAAATATGAAATGCGATTAAAATGTATAATTATATTTTCAAAAAAGAAAATATCAAATTGTGTGGGACGCACAGAAATGACAAATATAGACAATTTATGTGGAACGGAGTGAGTACTATTTTATGTTAGTTTTCCTACATATTTTTTTACAGCAACTATGTTTTTGCATTCTTCAGGGTTATATCTGTTACACACATATCTAATATGAAATGGGATTTTTTTTTTCTAATGATCTTCTATGACCTACTTTTAGGTGTATGTTCCTGGTGTTTTGGCCTGTAGTGCTCATGTTGAGAAAGGTGAGTCAGTTGCAGTTTCAGTTGCTGTGGAACAACCTGGTACTGATGGTGGATGGGGTGTTGGTTTTACCCGAGGAACTGTACTGCAAGGGTCTCCAACAGGCAAGTATCAATTACCCGTTGGCCTGGCTGTTATTTATTTTTATCTAGTGTTAGTGCACCCTTTCATAAAATGACAAAGCAATGTTGTGGAGACAATAGTGTTTCCAATAGAATGGCGATGTGTGCTTACTTGTGTTTAAAGCTGAATTTAGTCAAATCACGTGTGCCACATTATTATTATATTGTTGTTATTGTTTTTGTTTTTGTTATTATTATTATTATTATTATTATTATTATTATTATTATTATTATTATTATTAATTTCTTTTTTTTTAATTTATTTTTCTTCTGTTTTTATCTAAATTCATTTGTCATTTATGGCAAAACGAAATTTGCCATTTTGTTCGGGCACTAGCAGCATTTGTCTCTGTTGTATTGCTTATGAAGAGTTTGTTTTAAAGTTCTTAGCTGGACAAGTATGAATTGATTGCAGATCCTTATCATTTTGAGCGAAGCAGCCTCTATATCGGTCAAGGAACAACCATGATGTCCAGAGCTGGGATGTTTCGGGCATCTGAAGGAGTTGCGTTAGATTTGAATAACCGAGTATACCATCTACCTTCATTTCATGGTACAGTTTTATTTATTTTGTGAACTTCTTGGAGATACTCTTTATAGGACAGAGAAACATGAATAACATTATATAGAACGAGGATACAAATAATTTTATATGAATATGGATCTTTTGCAATAATAAAATATGATATATTGAAGCAGCTTCATATTTCTGTATTATTTTTCCAATTTCTGTTCTTTTATTAATATTGCAGATTTACTTGAAGGTGAAATATTTCTTCAGAATCTTCCCAGCATCATCACTGCACATGCCTTGGGTATTTAACCATTTTTCCTTGACAGTTACACTGTTTTTTCTTTTGTAATTTATTTTAATTTTCAGTTTAGTGTATAGCTTGTCCTTGTTGTCCTTTTGCTCTTTACTATTAAGTTACCGTTCTCTATACATAATAGATCCAAAAGAGGGAGAGAAGATATTAGATATGTGTGCAGCTCCTGGAGGGAAAACCACTGCGATTGCAATTCTGATGAAGGACAAAGGAGAGATTATTGCTGCTGATAGATCCCACAACAAGGTGCAACTTCTGAACTAGGCAGGTGATTGTGTATATTTTAAATTTTTGTGCATGGCTAACCGTATCTTCAAACTTTCAGTGCGTGATGATTAAGCATGCATTCAGGTTTTTTAATCCTGGCTTAGAAATATGCACAAATATAACATGTAACCAATGAAGTCTAGAAGCTCATTTATATTGCAGTTCTTTCTCATCCTATTTAAGGATTGATATTTACCCTACCACTTTACATAATTCTATGATTTTCCATGTCAGTGTATATTAAGAACTTGAAAGGCTTGTTACTGACATGCAGCTAAGAATCAATATCCCGATTCCGGAGTTCTTCCAAGCTGTTACTGTTAAACTTTTCATGTTTGTTAGCCTCATGTTCGCTAGAAAGTGAAAAATAGAAATTTCTGAAGTTGATTTACTAATTGCAATCTGAATGTAGAAATTTACAAAAGTTTTGCCAAAAAATTAGAAAGATTGAATGCTACATAAATGGCACACAAGAAGAAGAGTTATATTCATTCAGACTTCACTTTTTGACTTTTATGTTTTATAGTAAATCTTTGTTCAGGCACTACACTTTCTTCCATCTAGATATTTTCCTGTGGGGTTTTATTGGATGTCTAATTCATATCTGTCCTTTTTCAGGTGCTTGATATCCAGAAACTAGCAGCTGAGATGGACTTAAAGTGCATAACTACTTATAAGCTTGACGCACTGAAGTCTGTTCAGCAAAAAGAACAATCTGGCTTCCAGGATGTTCCCCAGTGCGGGGAGAGCAAAAGCGATCAAAGTTCAGATATATCAACACCAGGAATGCAAGAAACATTGGATGCTGCCATAGATTGTACTCATGGTGAGCATACTTGTCTAATGTAAGAAATGCTTGTTTATTTCTGAATATTTCCTGAATAAAGATGAAGAACATTGGATATGTTTGGTTACTTTTATATTCATGCCAAAAACTTATTCAACCATTAATTCTATATTATTTTAGATTTAAGCTAAATATATGGCTACACGCTCGCATTTATTTATGTGTGTGAATGGAAATGGGTTTGTATACCACCAAAAGGGAGATTGATTCAAATGTCGCGCACATACACATTTATATTTGCTATGAACTTTAAAAACCCTAGTGCATTTACTTCCATCACCTTTCTTTAGATTTTTGTTACGTCAAAATCATTTTTGTTTTCGTTCTATGAATGCAATGTCATTTATGATTTGTTTTCTCTTTTTTTCCTTGTAATTTTATAATAAAGCCACACTTGAGCAATCAAGCAATGGACGATACACCAGTAAAGCTGCGGTCCGGAAGAGCGTTCGGAAAATGAGAAATGGGCCTGGAAGAAACAACTCTTTAGGTGGAAGAGTTGAAAGGTCTAAAGGATTTTTACCTGCTAGCTTTGACCGGGTCCTACTGGATGCTCCTTGTTCTGCTCTTGGTCTGAGACCTCGGTTATTTGCTGGAGAGGTATAGTATCAGTTTGTCTGTAATCTTTTCTGTTTGTAGATTCTGTTCTTGCTTACAATAGATCTCCACAAATTTTCTACCCACTATCAATTATATGTTGGGAGTTTAATGACTTGATCTGCAATTTACATTATGGAGGTTTTTGTTCTATCTGTCTTATACAAGTGACTTACAACATGATTCATAATTGGCGTGCATGCCAGGAAGTATTATTTCTCTCTCTCTCTCTCTCTCTCTCTCTCTCTATATATATATATATATATATATATAGTTTCTCAGGTGTTTGTCAAATACCAATAAATCTAATTGCAGACTTATGCTTATCCTTTTACCTTAAATTTGCTATCGATTCTTTTCTTAGAAAACTAAATATATGTTATAGCTGAGGTTTTAATTTTTTTATGTTTCAATTTTTGGTGCTGCACAATGAAGGTCGGGTGAGCAGTCTTTGTTGTATAACTTATCCTTATGGCATTAGATTAATGTTTTCTTGGATATAGTTGTCTTCAATCTTGATGCGAAAGTGCAGTCTACATTCTAACATGTGTGCTATGCATACGTCCCAACCTAACTGTCAAAAAAAGAAAGAAATAATAAAATTTTGTTTTTATTTTTAATTTTATTCACTTACAATCAAAGTACAATACTTATATTGCTTTAATAGGCGGTTAACATAGTGTTGATTTGACCCAATCAACACGTTAGTATAAGACAGATAGTGCATGCTTTTATATGACATAACATATAGTTGTATTATATAGAAGCATGTGTGTGCAGTTAATATATTGTACTGAGCTATATAAATATGCTTATTGTGTTGAAATCAATAATATAATGTGCTACGTAAAATTATATCATGTGATATCAAGATGTGTTGTATTTTGTATTAGCATGTGCTGTCAGTTTGCTCCGGCTTTAATGTATATATTTTATTTAATACTAAAATGTATTTTGTTTAATATTAGAATATATACTATTTAATACTAGGTTTTAATTTATACTAGAATATGTACTATTTAATACTAGGATATATTTTGACACTCTCCTCTTGACACCGTCTGGCATTTAGTAGTGCTTTTGTGAGGACATCTTCTACTTGCATAGGAGTAAACCGACTGATAACTCGTCCACTCAAGACTGCCTCACGAACAAAGTGATAGGCAACTTCTATATGTTTGTTCGTTCATGAAAGACTGGATTACTTGCTATGTGGATTGCAGCAATGACATAACGCATTGTAAAAGGCTCATACTTACAATAGCTCGATCGACTTACATAAAAGATTTTTCAACCACATCAATTTATTGACAGTAGAGCCATTATTCAATACTCTGCCCCAGCACTAGATCGAGCTATTGTCTTTGTTTCTTCTCCATGTCACAAGGTTTCCTCCCAAATAAGTGCAATAACCAGTAGTAGATTTCCGGTCATTCTTATCTCTAGTATAGTCAGCATCAGAATAAGCTTCTTCTCTCAAATGTCTGTTTCTCTTAAACAACAAACCTTTTCCAGTTGCCCTCTTTATGTACCTTAGTATTCGAAGAGCAGCTTGCCAACGAGCTTCACGAGATGTCTCCATCAATTGACTTAGGACTCCCAACTGCATATGAAATGTCAGGCCTAGTGATGGTGAAGTAGATTAGTTTTTCAACAAGTCTTTTATACTTCAATTTGTATGTTAGAAAATCACCACTCATTCATCCATAGGTTAGGACCATTCTCCATTAGGATGTCAACTGGTTTAGCACCAAGTAGCCCGGTATCACTAAGCAAATCAAGAGCATACTCATGCTAGGATAAAGAAATCCTATATTTTCCTTACGTTATTGTCAAAGAATAGCTGAGTTATAATGTAAATATGTTAGGAAGATAAATTTGTAATTCAAATATGTTAAAAGAATTAATTTGTAATCCCTTAAATTGAGGGATTTAGTCCGTCCTTTAATTGAGGGAATCAGTTATTTTGTTTCTTTTTTCCTTCCTGTAATCTCCTTTTTAACTTTGTGTATTATCAATTCAAATCATAGTAGAAATACAGAATTTTCTTTCCTCTCATCTCTAATTTCCCACATGGTATCAGAGCTCTAGGAATTTTTCTAGGGTTTTGTAGTCTTCTTCAAGCAGCCCTCATCGCTGTGTTTTGTTCCAGCCTTAATTGCTGTGAATTTTTCTTCTTCACTAAGTCATGTCTGAAACCACCATCTCCAACAATTCCAACCCTTCCGAAGAATCTAACTCTATTCAGAAAATTGGAGAACTGCAGAATATCCGGGCATCCAATAGGTTCAATGGTTAACCTCCAAGCCGAGAGTGGGGCTACCGTGGGGGGCAGCAGCAAAGGCCTCAAGCGCATATGGCAGAGCAGCCCAATATTAAGGAAAATCCAGCAATACGGGGGTTCAACAGTGAAGAAATTGAGAGATTGAGAAGTTTGTTGGGGTCTCTTGAGAAGCTTTCTGGAACATGTTCAATGGCTCTTTCAGGTAAACCTGTGTGCATGAATGTCTTAGACAAATACTATACTAACTCTTGGATCATAGACTCCGGTGCTACAGACCATATGAACCTCACATCTCAACTCGTCCACACCTATACCCCATGTCCAAGTAATAGAAAAATTGTTGTGGCCAATGGCTCCTTAGCCACTGTTGCAGGGATTGAAGATATACATATCACACCTAGCCTTATCCTTAAAAATATTCTCCATGTGCCTAAACTGTCAACAAGCCTTGTTTCCATTCAAAAGTTGACTCATGATCTTAAATGCATTTTAAATGTTGTGCTGTTTTTTGCTCTTCTTATTGTATTTTTTAGGACCAGGACTCGGGGAGGAGGATTGGACTTGCTAAGGAAAGGATCGGACTTTACCACCTTGAACCATCCAAAAAACTTAAATAATAACTTGCCTTCTTCTTTCCTTGGTTTCTCGAATAAAGATGCCATTTGGCTATATCACCTACGTCTTGGTTATCCCTCTTTTAGGATTTTAAAAATAATGTTTCCTCATTTGTTCCAATGATTAGATATTTCTGAGTTTCACTGTGACATCTATGAATTGGCAAAACATAACCGTGCATCTTTTCCTATTAGCAATAAAAGAAGTTCTCATCCTTTTTATTTGATTCATAGTGACATATGGGGTCCTTCCACTATACCTAATGTTTCTGGGGCTCGTTGGTTTGTGTCCTTAATTGATGATTGCACTCGGGTCAAATTGGCCCTTTCTTCTTAAACCAAAATCTGATGTTAGCACTGTTATACCTAATTTTCATTCAATGGTTCAAAATCAATTTGGGTCAAAATAAAAAGCTTTAGGGCACACAATGCTATTCAGTCAGATTCTGTCACCTTACTTTTAATCACAGGGGATTATCCATGATTCCTCATGTATGGACACACCCCTAACAAAATAGGGTAGCTAGAAGAAAGAATAGGCATTTACTCAACACCACCTGAGCCTTACTGTTTCAAGGGAATGTTCCTAAGTCCTATTGGGGAGAAGCCGTCCTTACTGCCACATATATGATAAATAGACTTCCCTCCCATGTGTTAGAAAACAAAAGCCCCGTAGAGGCCCTTCATAGCTTCTACCCTCACTTCAGAACCTCAAATGGCCTCACTCCTAGGGTATTTGGGTGTATAGCCTTTGTTCATGTCCACAAACAACATAGAGGGAAGCTAGACCTTAGAGCCATCAAATGTGTTTTTCTCGGTTACTCATCCACTCAAAAGGGATACAAATGTTACAACTCCTTGACCAAAAAATTTTACATCTCTGCAGATGTCACTTTCACAGAAATTAGACCTTTTTTCAAGTCCTCTATTCAGGGGAGATTTCAATGATGGAAGATAGTACTTGTGAGTCCTTCAAACCACTTAAAACCCTTGACCTTCTGCATGTGCCACCCCGTAGTCACTCTGAACCAAACCCTTCTCATGTTCCCGTTAAACCCGAGTCCTCTAAACCAGTCACATGTGAGTCACCCGATCTTGTCACTGAACCTATATCATCTCCTTCTCCAACCAGCGTCACTCACAATTTTCCAAAGTTTCCTCGTGTGTATTCAATGAGAAAGACCGTTCCTGAACTGACACAAGTCCAAGAATCCAATCTAAATTCTGAGAACGAAATCACAGTAAGATTAGATCCACCTTTACACACACAATCTGTCGAACAATCCACTGATTCAACTACTGTTCTAGATCTTCCCATTGCTGTTAGAAAAGGAACCCGAGAATGCACTAAACGACCACTCTATCCTCTATCTCACTATGCCTCTTTTAAGCGCCTATCGCCAGCCCAAAAGGGATTCATTGTGAGTTTGAACACCATTGCCATCCCTCACAATGTGTCTAAGGCATTGTCAAAAAGGGAATGGAGGGATGCCATGAAAGAAGAGATGAATGCATTAGAAAAGAATAAAACATGGGAGAGCATTGATAAACCAAAGGGATAAAACATTGTTGATTGCAAATGGATTTTTACATTGAAGTACAAGATTGATGGATCCCTTGAAAGATATAAAACAAGGTTAGTAGCCAAAGGATACACTCAAACTTATGGGGTGGATTATCAGGAAACATTTGCTCCAGTTGCAAAAATGAACACAGTAAGAATTCTGTTATCATTGGCTGCTCACTTTAATTGGCAACTGCTACAATATGATGTTAAGAATGCATTCCTCCATGGTGACTTAAATGAGGAAATCTACGTAAACATCCTACCAGGATTTGAAGGGGACATTGGTAATAAGGTGTGTAAGCTGAAAAAAGCCCTTTATGGGTTAAAACAATCTCCTAGAGCATGGTTTGGCAGATTTGCAAAAGTCATGAAGGAATTTGGGTACAAACAAAGCCAAGGTGACCATTCTCTTTTCATTAAGCATTCAGCTATAGGGGGAGTGATTGCTCTTTTAGTCTATGTGGACGACATCATAATGACCAGAAATGATGAGAAAAAGAATCATGAATTAAAGCTAAGACTAATGAAAGAATTTAAAATAAAGGAACTGGGGAAATTGAAGTATTTCCTCGGTACTGAGGTGGCATATTCTAGACAAGGGATCTTTATATCTCAACAAAAGTACGTGCTTGTTTATTGGCAGAAACAGGGAAGATTGGGTGTAAGCCGATTTCTACTCCAATAGATCCAAACTATATATTGGGAGAAGCTAAAGAAGACCAGCTATGGATAAAAGAATGTCCCAGAGGGACGTTGGTTGGCAGACTTATATACCTTGCTCACACTCGGCCAGACATAGCATATTCTGTAAGTTTGATCAGCCAATTCATGCATGATCCAAGAGAACCTCATCTTCAAGCTGCTTACAGGGTACTGCACTACTTGAAAGGCAATCCAGGGAAAGGAATCCTGTTCAAAAGGAATGACACTCTTACTTTGGAAGCCTACACCGATGTTGACTATGTTGGCTCCCTAGTTGATAGAAGATCAACCGCAGGGTATTGTACTTTTCTTGGAGGTAACCTAGTGACATGGAGAGCAAGAAGCAAAATGTAGTGGCAAGGTCATCAGTAGAATCAGAATTTAGGGCAATTGCTCAAGGATTATGCAAATTACTTTGGCTGAGGATCATTTTGGATGATTTGAGAGTCAAATGGGATGGTCCTATAAAGCTTTACTGTGACAATAAGTCAGCTATTAATATAGCTCATAATCCTATACAACATGATAGGACAAAGCATATTGAAATTGATAGACATTTCATCAAAGAAAAATTGGAGGAAGGGTTAGTATGTATGTCCTATGTTCTATCAGAGAGACAATTAGCCGATGTTCTACAAAGGGGCTGAACAGTTCGAGTTTCCATGATCTTGTATCCAAGCTAGGAATGGAAGACATCTATTCCTCAGCTTGAGGGGGGGAGTGTCAAAGAATAGCTGAGTTATAATGTAAATATGTTAGGAGAATCAATTTGTAATTCAAATATGCTAAGAGAATTAATTTGTAATCCCTCAAATTGAGGGATTTAATCAGTCCCTTAATTGAGGGAATCAGTTAGTTTGTTTCCTTTTTCCTCTTTGTAATCTTCTTTTTAACATCTGCGTATTATCAATTCAAATCATAGTGGAAATACAGAATTTTCTTTCCTCTCATCTCTGATTTCCCACAGTTATTTCAATTCCCAGAAAATATCTAGGACGCCCCATGTCTTCTGTGACAAATGGGTTTGAGACAATTTTTTACGTTCTTAACACCACTCAAGTCATTTCCTGGTGTAAGTATGTCATCTACCTACACAACCAGGATAGTCACTCATTTGACGTCTCACAAATACTGAATGATCTAACTTGCATTGATTGAATCCTCATGTGCTCATCACCTGGCCAAACTTATCAAACTACGTTCGAGGACTTTGTTTCAGGCCATATATTGCCTTTTGAAGCCTACAAACCATATGCTTCTGATCATAACTAGGACAATAATGCCACTCATCTGACACCTCACATATACTGAATGATTTGACTTGCATTGATTGACTCCACATGTGCTCATCACCTGGCTAAATTGATCAAACCAAATTCTAGGACTTTGTTTAAGACCATATATAACCTTTCAAAGCTTATAAACAATATGCTTCTGCTCCCCGAGTGAAGTACCCAGAAGGTTGCTCTATGAATACAATTTTTTTAAGATCATTGTGGAGTAAGACATCCTTTACATTCAACTGGTACATCTTCCAGCCATTATTTTCCTCCAAAGAAAATAGAATCCGGACATAATTCAAACGTGATACCAGGGAAAAAGTTTCAAAATAATCTACACAATCAGCTTGAGTGTAACCTTTAGCTAGCAATCGAACTTTATATTGATCAATACTACCATCAGACTGATACTTAAGGGTAAACCCAACTACAACCAACAACATCCACAGCTGTAGGAGGGGAAACCATGTCCCAAGTACCACAGGAAAGAAGAGTAGACATTTTTTCATTCATAGTAGCTTTCTATTCAGGAATTGCCAGGGCCTAATGATAAGTTCTGGGAATATGCACGGAAGAACGTGACACTGCAAAACAACAAAAACTAGGAGCAAGGTGATCAAATGAAACAAAGTGACTAATAGCTTGAGAAATGCATGTTTGAGTACCTTGTCGAAGGGCAATTGGAAGATCAGAGAGATCAGTCTCAACAAACCCACAGCTGGAGCGGAACTTATAGACGTAGTGATAGGTGGAGTGGATGAAGTGTCAGAGGCAAATGGCAAGAGACCCTTACAACGTGTATACACTTTAATAGGAGGAGACGAAGGAACATATGCTGGAATAGGGAGAGGAAGTGGACTCAACTGATCAGAGAAGATATCGGGATCACTAGATAAGAATGATTTATCCTTAAAATTTGACATCGGGAGATGTGTATAGATGCCTAATAGTAGTTCATAGCATTGATACCCTTTCTGTCTATGCACAAATCCAAAAAAAAATGCATTTGACAGCTCGAGGTGACAACTTGTCCAAGTTAGGAGTATGATTATGCACAAAACAAAGACATCCAAAAATATGTGGAGATACAGGAAAAAGAGACAGGTCAGGATGGAGACAGGAAAAAGAAGATTGACTTCTGCTATTCTTTGTTAAACAGAGTTTTAGCTTACATTACCGTTTTCTGGGTTTTCCGCTAAAATATTTATTGTTTATTATCTCTATCAAATAGAAATTTTCTTGCATTTTGAAGTTATACTGGCGCTTTTTTCTTGTGTAAAGTTGAGAAGTATTGGGATGTGCTTACAGTTTAGATTCTTTCTGGTGCACTGCTGATAGCAATGCCATATCTTCCATTTAAGTTTTGAAACAAGCGCAGCATCATACACCCCAATTGTATTTGTTTGTAAAGTATTTTCCAATTTCCATTTAATTTTAGAACTTGAAAAGTATTGTTTTCTTGAATATTGTTGAGGTAGTAGTAACCTGGCAATCCTATGCAAAACTTCAAAAAGATTTTAGTTGATTCCCATTGTAGATTTATAGTCTTTTCCTGTGTTCCCACATCTGATATTCTAGTTCAGTTTATACCTTGATCCTTAGAATTATGCAATCCTTTCTCTAGGCATGTTCTGCTGAAGCATAGGAGCAGTTCAGTTATAAAATTGCATTTAGTCATTTACATTCAATTCAATATTGGGATCTGATGTTTCCATATTTTTCACCAAAACATAGTGCTATATTTTTATTTTTTGTCAGGACAGTCACAGTAGAAATTCTTTTGTTGTATTTATAAACTCATTTTTGGTTTGCATCGTAAATCTTGGCTTGAATTTGTTGTGTTTTTGTGACAGTTCATCATTTTAAACTGTTCGTATTGTAGGAGACAATTGAATCATTACGAACACATGCTAAGTATCAGAGACGAATGTTTGATCAGGCTGTGCAGCTTGTTCGCCCTGGTGGAGTTCTCGTCTACTCAACGTAATCTTTTAAAATCCATGTTTACATGGATGTGCTTGTCTTCTTTAGATTTCAGTTTTCTTTTCATCATGCTATTTTCTTGTCTGTGCTTTACTCAATGTGTAGATTCGGTTTCTGTTGTGCTGGTAGTTCTATTATTGCAACACACTGGACCTTTGGGCACAAACAACTGTTAAAATTTTTTAACATGCAGGTGTACGATAAACCCTGGTGAGAATGAAGCATTGGTTAGATATGCATTGGACACATACAGTTTTCTTTCATTGGCACCACAGGTCAGTTGAAGTTCACAGTGTGCCAAACTTATGAACTCAATATTACCTGTTAGAAGTTGTTTACAATTTTGTACTAAGTCGTAATGTTTAAAATGATTCTCTCTTTCTCTCTCTCTTTTTAACGAATAAACTAATAACTTCTGAATGATTGGCTGATATTATCACCCTCTGCCATGAAACACAATAAAACGTAAAATGTAAATTCCACAAATGAAGGTTCTGAAATGGATGCAATTCTTCATAGACTGATGCGTTGGTATTTTTTTGAATACTTGTGGAAACTAGTTTGATTTTCCCAAACATAGTTTAATCTACATCTGAAGTTAAAATAACTCAAGAAACATGTAACTTTGTAAAGTTTTGCTATTGTGTTGCAAACTAATCATTGCACTGGTGAATGGTGGTATGTTGGTGTTGCCATTATATTTATAATTTATATGCTTGCTGAAATGATTATTATGATTTTTTTTCTTGATTTTTCCCCCTTTGTTGAAATTATTATTATTATTACTATTCTATTTCTTTTTTTTTTTTTTTTAAATTTTCCCCCCTTTGTTCCATACAAGTGGTTATTTGACAGAGCAAGGTTTAGACTTTGTTCTATCTAATTTTTTCCCACAAGTTCTCCCAAAAAAATTAATACACTACTAACATTCATTATTTTTATATTCCCTACGCAATTCTCTATATCTCATGTGAAAAAATTTATTTTCCAAAAGTCTCACAAAACAAACACATTCTTAGATTCTGTTGGTTAACCTTAATAAATATATATTGATTGTCGTATGAATTTCATAATTCCTGCAGCATCCAAGAGTTGGGGGTCCTGGCCTTGTTGGAGGTTGTGAATTATCTGATGGATATAGGGAGTAAGTTACTCTTTTCTCACACTTCATATAAAAATGGCACACGTATAATTGTTAATCATTGATTTTATTAAAAGAATATGTAATTGGTTTAATATTCAAGGATGAGATTGAGTATAAAAGCTGCTGCACCTTGGTTGGCCTATTCGACCAGCAGAATCAATTTATATATGACTTACCCTGGCCTTGGGGTTATTTGATCTTTTATCCCCATCTTCCAAGCCTCTCACTTTTAGTTAAAACAGTACATTCACTTTTATTTATCCTTGAGTCACTTTCCTGCAAATATGTTGGTGAATTATGGTTGAGAACCCTTCACATAAAAAGTGATTATGAAATCAGTAATGAATGAGGGACAAATCTTAAAACCATTGATGTGATGTTAATCGTGTATAATATGTGGGTTGATATTGTTAATTCATTTAAAGAATTCTCAATGTTCAGTAATACAAGTGACCCTTCACATTCTACTCATTTTGAAACATCTCCAAGACAATCAGCACCCAACCTCCTCGTTCATTCTCATGTTTTTGACTAATAAATCAGTTCATTGATTAGGTGCTCCTCCATATTTCAGGGAATGGCTAAGACCTGATGAAGCAGATCTTGTTCAGAGATTTGATCCTTCCTCTGAACTTGACACTATAGGATTTTTCATTGCCAAGTTCAACGTTGGTTTCAAAGATACCTGAGCCTTACTGGAAACAGTTACATTATCACCTCTTCTTCCTGCAGAGGGATTCAGGTTTGAACACTTCAAACTTTCTCTAGTTGTTTTGTAAACTATACTATTAACTTATGACAAATATATTAAAACCCATATGCTTCATTAACTTGTACGAAATTGTCCTCTCATTGGTTATAATTTGCATTCATTTGGATTTCTCTCCCCTTGTCTGTTTTGTGGTTCTATGTTTTGATATGACCATTTTATATGTTGGCATCCATGGAACATAACCATGTCTTTTTAACACAAACTCCCACACACGCATGATTAGGAATGAAGTTGATTTACTTGAAGTAGGCTTTAGATGAGAGGTTAGATCCATATGGCATGAAATATAAGTGGAATAACATTAAATGTTGTCAAATAGGTCTATCCTTTTTATGTCTTCGAATGTATGAATTATTACTGTCTTCTTGTTTGCTGCATCGAACCATTCTCTAACTGTCTTCTTGCCACAGCCCTATGTATCCAATTTCATCACACAAAATCCCATTCCCACCCTGTGTAAACGCCATAAGCTCATATCCGTGATTCATCTCTTCCATACACCAAACTTCCATGTCATTACATCTTTCCTCCATGACAACATCGATCCACTCAAGGCTCCTGACTCCACTATCCCCCTCCTCCTTGCACTCCTCAATATACCCCCACCATGTCTCAATTCCATCTCCCTCTTCTTCTTTTTTGTTCACCACCACTTCTTCCATGGCTTCTTCTTCTTCCTGTTCTTCCCCACTCTCCTCCATGGGCTCGTAAAGCAGCTCCCGGAGGGTGTTGGGATCAAATTCCATCACTTCCAGCCCTTCAAATACATCAATGGTGAGTAGTGGGGATTGGGGTGGGGAATTCGACGATGGCTCTGAGGAAGCCATGTGTAGGGGGTAGGATATGATTGATGATGAGAAGAGTGTGTGTTGTGTGTCCTTAAATAAGCACAAATCCCTTACGATGGGTATTGATTGAAAGTCTTGCCTATCAGAAACTTTGGAAACTTATTATTGTGATGGACGACATTTATCTGCTTTAGTCATTGCAATTTTTTTAGCATTCTTTCCTGTGAAATCTCATTGCTTTTCTCTGCACTTATATTGCTGCTCATTGTTGCACTTATGATCTTAGTGAATTTGGTGAAGAAGTTCCTCCCACTCCAGTAAATAGCTTCCATTGAAAAAGTGAGTTATTATTTTTAATTATCCCTACTTTATTCATAAATTAAATTTTGTTGCATGGGGAATTAGACAGATGGCCTGTGGTCATCTCTTTATGGATAAAGTGATGAAAATGATATGATTGGTGATTAAATTAGTTCCAATTAGGCAGAAAGTGTTTGGCACTTTGCAACTTGTATAGTGGCTCTTGCATGTGAATGGATAAAATTGACAGGTCACATATATGTGATATAAAAGCATAAAATTACGTGGAACTTATACTATACTCATTGACAAATGAGGAAAAAGAAAATTACAAGTTAGGTAGATAGAATTTAAGAACATATATATAAGTGGGATTATTGGGTATAGCAGCAGAGATTGAAGTTAGGCTGTGATTATATATAAAATATATATTACAAGGGATTATGGTGAATGAAGTTAGGTTCTTTATCAGGGTTTTTGACATTGATGTAGGAGCTGTAAAGGTCAGTTTGTTAAGGATAGAGCTTGAGTTCGAAAAATATTATTTGGATAATATGGGTGCAATGGGTGCTTTATGTATATAATAGATTTTGCTTTTTGCTTTTGTTATATTTTTGTAGGTGAAATAGATTTAGAATATGATATTTTTGTATGTAAAATATGTATGTAATGTTAGGAAAAACATATATTTCATTATTGTATGGTAAACAAATTGAGAAAAAAAGTTTCTCCTAAACAATTTCAATATATATATATATATATTTTATCAATTTTATAAAAGTTTTCAATATATATATATTATCATTTCATAAAAGTATTTTTAATATAAAATATTATTTTTTATATTAATATAATTTATATATTTCACATAAAAAACCTTTTTAATCAAAATACTAAACAAATTAAGGTTTTGGCAGTAAGAAGTGGGATGTTTATAATTCTTAAAGTGAATTAGTAAAAATAATTATTGTATAATAAAAATAATTATGAATTAAAATTAAGATAATTAAATAGTTTAATTAGAATTAAGAAAATTATAAATTATAAAATTTAATATGTGATTAAAGTGTATAATTATATTTTAAAAAATGAAAAGGACAAATCATGTGAGATTGACGAAAATAAAAAAATAAAATAAAAAATGAACACTTTATGTAGGATGGATGGAGTGAATAATTTTTTATTTTTGGGTTTGTACCAGGTGTTTTTATTCTTTTGATATTTTTAATTTGGTTGGGTGTTTGGTCCTATTTAATTAAATATAAAAGGTGTGTTTTTTAAAGGTTTTATACAAAATTTTACTATTTATTCAAAAAAAGATTTCCTCAAAAAATCAAATGAAGTACCTATTTTTTATTTTTTATATTATACTAAAAATTAATTTTACATAGATACCTATTTATATCACTATCACCTGATACAATTCAAAACTCAAAATTCAATCCCTAAACCAAACACACACATAGTGTATTTTACTAATACTGATATAAGTATACTTTTAATAATTTTCTCTCAATTTAAAAATTTGTTATAATACTCCCTCTGTCTCGTAACAACAAAGTATTTATTTTTTTATTTTAGTCCGTCCTATAACAAAGTATCTATTTCGTTTTTTAGTAAATGTACTATCTACCTAACATTACAAATATCCTTACAATTTACAATATATTACACAAATATCACTATATTTATTTTAATCATTTCTATTTTATTTCTACTATATCCCAATATAATACTAATATTTCTAAAATTACGTGCAAAAATCAAATGGATATTTAGTTCGGACGGAGGGAGTATATACTTTTTTTTTTATGGTAATAAGAGTTACATTTATTTTTGTCTGATATCTAAATATTAATTATTATATCAAAATACATTAAGAAAAAAAGACAAATATTTTTATTAGTATTTTATAATACAAATACAATAATACTTGAATAAATTATACAAATAAAATATATTTTTAATAATCTCTATGTCTCACCTATTGTGTCGTTTATATCCGTCTTATATCTCATGCCATATAATTTTTTTAAAACTAATTATATATTTTATTTCATTTTAAATTTTTTAATTTTAAATTATTATTTTTAATTAAATTAATTAATTATATTAATCTTAATATATAATTATTTATATTATATAATAATTATTTTTAGAGATACATTCATTCTTATTATCTAATGTCTACAGCAACATGGGACATGCAATGTGGAATGGAGAGAGTATTAAATATAACGATGCAAAAAGTAAATATAATTTTTATTATCGGAAACTAGTATTTTTATTAATATTTTCTTTTGCAGGGTTTATTTATGATTTTATATTTTTATTCCCCTAAATAAATCTGCAGTCAAATTTACATGTTTAGGCAAATAATGAAGAAAGAGCATTTTTCCTTCACGTTTGATGTTTTGTGTGGAAACTTTTAATTCACAACACAACCTATGGTGTCACATCACATTGTATCACATGTCCCAATTTTGCCCACGTTTTTTTTTTGTTCACTTGATAACAAACTTTATTGTTAATTTCATATAAATAAGTCTATTTATATGATTAATTTATTTATTGTAGGGAAATTTACAATTTAGTCCTAGCATAAGTCAATTTGTGCAACATTATTTCAGAAGTGTATATTCTTTTGGGTGCAAGATTAGTCTAACCTAATTTGTACATATTTAATTACTTTGTTATAATTTGATTGAACTTTTTTGAAGTCTGCGTGACTTAAAAAACACATGTATATAATTATTTATACGTGCCCGTATAAGTAATTATCTTAGAAATATAGTCAGCTATGATGCGTGAATTTTAATCCGTTGGAGTAACATGCACTCTTTAGCATTTCGTTTATTCGACTAATAAGGCTGGCTTTTAGATTTATCTAAGCACTTACAAAAGCTAAAATATTTTAGAAAGAAAAGGCTTTTAATAAAGAGAGAAAGTGGAAAGAATTTGGAGAACTTAAATTAAAAATGAGAATTTAGTGATTTGCAAGTGAGGGGTGAAAATTTTTTTATAGGCCAAAGACTCCTTCACAAAGTTTTAGAATGTACAACTTTCTAAGTCTATATATCTATAAGATTCTATGAGGTTTTACAAGATTCCATCATGTTCCGGGGATATTCTTGACCTAGAATATTCTCAAAAGTTTGTGTAAGTTCTAAGACAGAGAAAAAAATTCTGAATATAGACAAATTATCGTCTCGAAATTTCTTATGTGATATATGCTACTCGATAGATAACTCTATATTTAAAAATTACAATCATGCTCCAAACACGTGCATATGCTCATGTACCTTAAGAATACATCTATATTTTAAACGCATTCGGAAATGTTACTTAATATATGGTGTATTTAATGAACACGGTCATGTTACTTAATAAACAACCCTAATTTTGTATGAGTTCGTTTGAACACAGCCTAAATTTGAGAAAAGAGTAGGATCGTAGCCAGATAAGTTATTGGAAAGTAAATCAAACAGACCTTAAGTTTGTACGAATTTCTTTGAAATGAAACTAATTTTGCATGATCAATCTATATTGAGACGAAGGGTTTTTTTTTTATTTTGATTTGAATAATATTTTAATATAATATTTTATAAGAGAAAATAATATATTTTCATCGAAAACTATATGGATTGAATAGTGTACCAAATATATCCTAAGGGTTTGTCTGGTTTAAAATTAAAATTAATTTTTTACTATTCACTTTATGGTTATCAATAAAAAATTATTATTTTATTTCACAAAATATTATATAAAAAAATAACTATTTACACCAAAATTAAAGTAAAAAGCTCAAAATAAAATAAAAATAAACTTTAATTCTTTTTTCTTTATTATATATTATTTCATTCGATATGTCAAATTTACTTACTTTTCTTTTAATTCGTCCATTAAATTTTTTATATTATTAATTTTGGTAAAATTAATAAATTAACATTTATCAATTCCGAATCGAATCTCTTTAGAAAGAAGATCTTTTGTCTAT